AGCCTTTCCCCCATCCACAGCGATGGAGAAGGGGGAAGGGAGGGGCATTCAGAATTCCCAGCAGAATGGCAGGTCTTAGCGCCCACCTCAGTTCCACATTCAAAGCTGAAGGGACAGACTTGCTTCTCAGCAAGATTTCAAAGCTGTGCATCAGAGTGGGAAGGAAAACAGGAAGGCTGGGGGGTGGCGTGGAGGTGGGGGTGGGGGCTAGAAAACTGGATAGAGGAGGGACAGCGGGGGGGGGGGGGGGGGGGGGCGGGGGGGGGCGGCGGCATGCGCAACCCGGGCCAGATCAGATGGGAAACCGCCCAACCCCTCACCCGAAACTGACTGAAGTACTGAAGTGACGCCCCGTTTTTTTTTTTATGAGGTGCCGACATTTCAGGTATGCTGGCCGTAATGATGCCCTGGGCCCAGCTCTGAGCTTTTGGGTTTCAAGTTGCCAGTTGCTAGCCTGAAAAAGCCTCAGGTGAAGATGAACTTCTTCAAGCTACCGGAGTGGCAGGTGAAACCATGAGAGGCGAAACCTTGAAGAAAATCCAGCCACCCGATTTGCTGTGCGCTTCTCCACCCACCGAGGCCACCAATCACGTGTGTGCATGGGTCCATGCAAAAAAACATGGGCAAGTTCTGTGTGTGTGTGTGTGTGTGTGTGTGTGTGTGTGTGTGTGAGAGAGAGAGAGAGAGAGAGAGAGAGAGAGAGAGAGAGAGAGAGACAGAGACAGAGACAGAGACAGAGACAGAGACAGACAGACTCTGGGAACGGAGCGGGTGGAGCAACGCCCAGAGAACTGCATTTGGATTATTTGAAGATGACAACATTCAGTTCTGACCTCCAAAGGACAGAGGAAAAACACAGCTGGTCCCAGTTGGTGCTAACTCCCACTCTGTTTCCCTCAGCTCCACAGATTCCCAGGTCTGGAGGTTGCTCCCACCCTACCCCCAACCCTTGCTCTGTACCCAGCAGGGGCAGGTGCCGTCACAGTGGCTTCCCGAAATTTTCCCTCTTTCTTTGTTAATGAGAACTGACTTGGCATTTAATAAAACCTTATTTATACAAGGGCTACGTGTGCACAAGGAACAGCCCCTCTGGGGGGCTGGCCCAGCACTCCCACATCACAATGACAGTGGCTGTGCGCCAACCAGCTGCAATAACAGCCAGGCCCCAGAGGCTAGCCATGCTCCTCCGGGGGAGGTGGGGGCACGGGGTCTGCCCTGGCCACCCTGTGCCTGCCTGGGGATCATTTTCCTAAAACCACTCCCAGGATGGGTACAGGAAGCAATGAAAGCAAAATCTCATTTAATGCTTGCTATTTCTTTTAAGTTCTTTATTAGTGATTTATTTGCTTTTAATGTTTAGCTGCCCTGTTCATTGGTCCCGGGGAAGGCACATTTCAAGGGCACCAGACGGCTAGACGGGGTGTTTGCTCTTTGCTAGGAGCTCACGTGTTCTGTGTTAGTCAACTCTCTCCTCACTGAGGCAGAAGCAGGAATCAGGAGAAGGGCAAGCAAGGTCTCTGAGGCGGCCGGATGCCTCCCACTGGGGTGTTTTCCTCTGGCCTGCCTTGGCTGGGCAGCTCTGTTAAGGGAATGGGCAGGCAGGCAGCACTGTTCTTGAAGCCCAGAGGTGTTTGGGGTACAAGTGTTACTGTTTGGTCTACAGAAACTGAGATTGTAAAGTCAAACTCTTTTGTTCAAGGTTAATAATTTTTGACCCTGACTGGACTTTGAAATTATCTGGGAAGCTCTGGAAATACTGAAGTATACAGTCTGTACCCTGTACGACTGACTCAGGGTCTCTGGACTCGGAGTTGGGGGATTGTTTGAGATAGCCTCATTTAGTCTAGGCTGTCCTTAAACACCCCCATGTAGCCAAGGATGACTTCACATTCCTAATCCTCCTGCCTCCACCTCCCCAAGCACTAGGATTACAGGTATACAGTGCTGGGTATCAAACCCAGGGCCTAGTTAGGCATGTTAGGCAAGTACTCTACAACTGAACGGAATCCCCAGGGCCACATATGTAGCTGTTAAAGCTTTCCTGGCGATTCGACACACAGCTAAGCCAAGAACTGCTATTCCTGGGGACAAGGACTGTTTGTGCTGGGCTTTCTAAGCTGAGCAGCCTTGAATAGGTTGGTTGACTTGTTGCAAGTTGAGACTAGGAGGCTCAATGTTGGTACCAGGGCCTCAGCTCAGTGCCTGTCCCCTGCAGGTACCTGCTGCAGCTGTGAACGTGTAGACACGTGGACAGGGGGTAAATAAGTACCTTGGGCCCATCTAAGTCAGTGAGGGTTGCTAGGGATGTCTTTCTGTATGCTGTGAATGTGTGTTGCTCTGATTTGGTTGATAAATAAAATGCTGATTGGACAGTAGCCAGGCAGGAAGTATAGTATAGGTGGGATAAGTAGAGAAGAGAATTCTGGGAAGAGAAAGGCTGAGTCAGGAGTCACCAGCCAGACACAGAGGAAGCAAGATGTGAAGGCAGAACTGAGAAAAGGTCCCAAGTCACGTGGCTAAACATAAATAAGAATTATGGGTTAGTTTAAATGTAAGAGTTAGTCAGTGGTAGGCCTGAGCTAATGGCTGAGCAGTTTTAATTAATATAAGCCTCTGTGTGTTTACTTGGGTCCAAGCGGCTGCAGGACTGGCAGGTGAGAGAGATTTGTCCTGACCATGGGCCAGGTGGGACACAGGAAAACTTCAGCTACAGAGGGTACCTGGTAAAACTTCTGATCTCTAAACTCAATGGAAGGCAAAAGGAAGGTTTCCTGTTCTTTCTTGTTTGATAAGTAAACACTCAGGTCAGTGGCCCCAGCTTGGGGTTAACTATAGTTTGGATCTTGAGTGTCATACAAAGCCCATCTGTTAAAGACATGGCCTCCTCTTGGACAGGGCTAGTGGGAGGTCCTTAGGCTATTGGGAGGTCTGCCATAGAAGGGTATAGTGGGAACCCCAAGCCCTTCCCCTTTTTATCCTTTGCTTCCTGGCCAAGAAATGAGTGGATTGTTCCACCATGAATTCTGCCACAATGTACTGCCTCATTACAGGACCAAAAGTGATGAGTCCATCAGCCACAGCCTAGAATCTCTAAACCTGTGAGGCAAAGAGAACCCTTTCTTAGACTGACTGAGATATGTGTTATGGTAAAGCAGAACTAACACAAGGTCTAGTCACTAATGGATAATTTTGTCCAGATGCAAAATCTTATCTGGCTGTACCCAGGACTGGCTGAATTGAAGACCATGCCCCACCATAGACCAAGTGTTGCTTTGTAGTCTGCTGTAGAACAGAGGCATTCAGGCCACAGGCTCTTAATTCTCTCCACAGTGTGGGAAGCATCAAGACCATCTCTGGGGTCCTAGACTTTTTATGGTGGCCTCCTCAGGTCCTGACCCTTTTGACCTACTTTGGAAGTCCACCCCTCAATGAGCTGGGAAAATTGCAGAATAATTTCCAAGGGAAATTCAAAATAAACTCTGCCAGAAACAACGAGGCCTATTTTATTTGACTCATTTTAAAGAATTCATCTGGCTTCTTTTCTTCTCCTATCTTTCTTTTCTTTTCTGTGTATCCCCTACCCCCTACCCCGAGACAAGGTCTCTTGTATCCTAGGCTAGCTGGAGATGAGTGTGAACATCTGGCATTCCTGCCCCCACCACCTAAGTGCTGGATTACAGTTGTTTACATGTGCTGAGGAACTAACCCTGGCTTTGTGCATGGGACACAAGCACTCTTACCAACTTGGCAACAGCCCTGTCCCCAGTTTAAAGACAAGCTGAGAGCAGGAGAGAGAGAGAGATCAAGAGTAGAGACAGTAGGAGAACAAGGACCGTGAGAGCGAGAACAAGAGAGAGAGAGAGAGAGAGAGAGAGAGAGAGAGAGAGAGAGAGAGAGAGAGAGAGAGACATACCTCTACTGGGATTTGAGAAAGCCACCATAAAGACAGACAAAATGTGAATTCCGTAACCAACAACTAATTCCAGAATGTCTCAAAAAATATCTTAGTGATTGACATTCCTCATGGTACAGTTCCAAAAATTAAAATACAGGCCAAAAGAAATATATAATTAGGTGCTAGAAGCAGTCTATGTTTTCCAAAGGATTCTAATGAATATTCCTAAAAGTGTGGCCTCTGGGGAACCCCATCAGAATCTCCTAAGCAACGAGGCATCTCCCCACCAGCAGGCTGGGGACTTGAACTTGCATGTTTCACTGACCTCTGATGACAACACACTTCCTAAAGGCTGACACGGCTGTGCTCTACCACATCCTTCCAGCAAAGGAGGAGGAGACTCTCACAGGCCCCGGGAGTCTGGACTACATACAGTTTTAGAGCAGAAGGCTGGGCTTAGCGATCTAGGCGTTCCAAAATGTTGAGATTATAAAATTTCCTATTTTTTTTCTATCTAGAAAGAGCACCTTTGAGGATCAAGTACAGGTTCACAGGAAGGAGCTCGAACCGCCCATTTGCTGAAATTTATGAATGGTTTGCACAGTGTTTTCTCTCTGTTTCCCTACTATTTTATACACAGGTATGTCCAATCTGTGGCCCACAGGCTGCAGGTTCACCAAAACAGCTATGAAGGCATCCCAATACACCTTTAGATAATAATGTCATGTTACAGTGTCAAAAGGTTAGACACCCCTGGAAGTATCGTCCTTGCTGTATACGTGAACATTAGGACCAGGAAAAAGTCACTGTCTTGCCTGTAATCATGAGCTAGGAATCCACTGCTCTGCAGGGGGTGGAGAACACTTTTCTCACAGTTGGTGTGGACAAACACCTACCACATCACGTGCTGAAGGATGAGCCTACCTCCTTTCCCTTGCTGCTGTTCTAGAAGGACTGCTGTTTTTTTCTTGGGTGCTAGGATTCTGGAGCATCTCCAAGACTTGTCATCAGCCTCAAGCTCACACCTTCCTCAGTGTCAATTCCCCAGTGGCCTGCCTGCTCCAGGAACCATCTACAAGTAGGGAGCATGTAACCCTTTCCTTACCACACGGAAGAGTTTGAAGAAGTCCACGTTGGCATACAGAGTGTCCTCTATCCACTGTAGGGTAACCTGGGAGAGGGGACACAGGGTATCACGCACGGTCTGTGCCCCCCGATGCTGGCTGAAGATGATGAAACGCTGCAAGAGGGTCTCACTACAGGCAATGCTCTTCAGTTCCAAGTCTGGGACTCCGTAAGCAAACTGCAGGGAGGAGAAGAGATGCTGGGGAACTCCTTGTAGGGAAATAGTACCACCCTCCTGAACAGAGATGCTGGAGAACTCCTTGTAGGGAAATAGTACCACCCTCCTGAACAGAGGAGATGCCACTTCCTGACCCACAGGCGTGGATGAACAAATCATATTCCATGGCAAAGGGAATTAAAAGAGCAGGTAGATTATGTCTGCGAGTTGGTTTAAAATACACAGATTAGTCAGGTGGTTGGTGGTGACGAGCACCTTTAATCCAAACACTTGGGAGACAGAGAGAGCCAGATCCTGTGAATTTGAGGCCAGCCTGGTCTACAGAGTGAGTTCCAGGACAACTAGGGCTACACAGAGAGACCCTGTCTTGGGAAAAAAAAAAAAAAAAAGACAGAGATGAATTTGAGTCATCCAGGAGGGTTTAATGTCATAGACAGGTACTTGAAATTGTAAGGAGGCAGAAGAAACAGTATCAGAGTACTGTGATGTGAGAAAGGCTTTGAAAGGCCATTGTTCGTCTTGCAGATGGAGAGGACCTCATCTAAGGAATGTGCACGATCTGCAGAAGATGAGTAGGATGTTGTTCGAATCTTAGATGGTCTTATAATAAAAAACCCAGAGCCAGGTATTGAGATGAAAGTTGAAAGGTCAGAGAAGCAGCAAGCCACAGCCAACCTCACCTCGCCAACTCCTCAGCCAATCCTATTTCCTAAGACTGAAAGCCTCTGAGTCCTCACCAGAAAGGATCTCAGCTCAACTGTTTTAGAGCAGCCAGCCACTAGTTCTTATCTCTACGTAAACCTCAGTCTAAAGAGAGTGAGTTCCTGTTTCCTCATGCTTTATATACCTTTCTCTGCCCAGACATCACTTCCTGGTATTAAAGGCGTGTGTGCTTCCCAGTACTGGGATTAAAGGTGTGTCCCACTACTTCCTGGCTCTGTTTCCAGTGTGGCCTTGAACTCACAGAGATCCAGACGGCTCTCTGCCTCCCCAGTGATAGGATTAAGGGAGTGTGTGCCACCACTGCCTGACCTCTATGTCTAATCTAGTGGCTGGCTCTGTCCTCCAATTCCCAGGCAAGTTTATTAGGGTACACAATATATCACTGCATAGGATGAGAAAATAGGTTTTCCTTATACATCCCAGTAAAGAATGTGACTTAATGGTACCTTGACATTCAGACTTCTGATCTCAAGAATCATAAGATAATAAACCTGTGTTGTCTTAAGCCTTTATGTTTGTGGTCATTTGTTATAGCAGTAATAAAAATTTAAATCCTCTCTCAAACCTCACTTTATCAGAAAGCTTTTAAAATTTGAGAGATCTCCTTTGAAAGGGACACTAAGGTGCCATCGAAACTGTCTCCCAGTGGCGGGTGTGGCAGAATGGTAAAAACACATTTATAATGATAATGACCAACTTCTCACTAGATTTACTACATAAGAACATCAGATGCCTAGATCAGTTTGGTTTCGGTTTTGTTATTGTTTTTTGTTTGCTTGATTATTTGAGGCAGGGTCTTGCGCTAGCCCAGGCTAATCTGGATCTTACTCTGAAGCCTAGGTAATTTTTCTATTTCAGTATCCTGACATTACAGGAGTAAGCCATCATACCTAGTACAGTTAAATTAATTTGAATTTCAAATAAAAAATAACTTTTAGTATGTCTCAAATTAATTCCAAATGGAGCACAGTTATGCTGAAAATTTTGTTTATCTGAAATTCAGAATTGAATATAACCTGTATTTTACCACATCCCACACCTCCTAGAAGCTCACTGACAATGACTTGGAACACAACTATGATGGCCTCCATGGCTCAGATGAAAAAGACATCCCAACCCTGGTCAGGGCCTCTTGGTTGCCTGGAGTGTTTCCTAGCACCCTAGACTTTGAGGCTTTATACTGTTGTGGAATATTAATTTAAGATGTGTTACATTTGTTTATGCTATGGAATTTGTTTTAATGATGCAAAAATGTGTTGCATTCTTTTATGTTGCATTTATTTAACTCTGTGAACCTGTGCTACTTTGCCTGTCTAAAACACCTGATGGTCTAATGAAGAGCTGAATGGCCAATAGCAAGGCAGGAGAAAGGATAGGAGGGACTGGCAGGCAGAGAGAATAAATAGGAGGAGAAATCTGGGAGGAGTAGATTAAGAAGCAAGAAAAGCAGGAGAGGAGGATGCCAGGGGCCAGCCACACAGCCACACAGTCAGTCTCAGAGTAAGAGTGAAAGTAAGATATCCAGAAGTAAGAAAAGGAAAAAGCCCAAAGGCAAAAGGCAGATGGGATAATTTAAATTAAGAAAAGCTGGGTAGCAACAAGCCAAGCTAAGGCCTGGCATTTATAAGTAATAATAAGTCTCTGTGTGATTTATTTGGGAGCTGGGTGGCAGGCCCTGCAAAGAGCAAAGACTGAAAACAACCAACTACATTGTACTTGAACAAATTCATAAGACTGGGCCTCAAAGACACTATGTAGCTTCTAATCACACAAGTCTCCACATTGGAAAGCAGAGCAGACCCAGGCTGCTATCCCCAAGGAAATGTTGAGACTACACTGATCCCTCCATGAGGCACAGACTGATGGTGGATCAGCTGTGGATGGTCCATCTGGGGCCTGTAGTGGGAGTGTACCCACAGATCATTCTTCCTTTGCCCCCACCTCATTCGGATCTCTGGGCAAAACCCCAACCTCTCTCTAACCAGAGGCTGAAACCTCTCTTACAAGCTCATTTGTCTGATCCTCTCACACTCCAGAGGAGGAATGGGGACCGGGCAACAACATATGTAAGTATTAGCTAGTGTCTTAGTTTGCTTTTCATTACTGTGATAAAACACCATGACCAAAAGCAACCTGGGGAAGAAAAGGTTTATTTCATTTTATAGTTTACAATCCATCGTGAACGGAAGTCAGGTCAGGAACTCAAGGCAGGAAGTTGGAGGTGGGAGCGGAAGCAGAAACCATGCATGGAAGAGTGCTACTTACTAGCTTGCTTTCTATACCTTGTTAAGCTTGCTTTCTTATACACCCCAGGACCACCAGCCCAAGGATGACATTGCTCCCGGTAGGCTGGGCCCTTCCACATCAATCAGCAATGAAGAAAGCACTCCACAGGCTTGCTAACATGCCATTATGATGGGGACCGTCTTAGTTAGGACTATTGCTTGATAAAACATCATGACCAAAGCAACTTGGAGAGGCAAGGGAAGGGTTTATTTGGCTTATACTTCCACATCATAGTCCGTCATAGGAGTCAGGATAGGAACTCAAACAGAGCTGGAACCTGGAGACAGGAGCAGATGAACGCGCCATGGAGGGGTGCTGCTTACTGGCTTGCTCTTCACAGCTTGCTCAATCTGCTCTCTTATAGAACCCAGAACTACCAACCCAGGGATGGCACCACCCATAATGGGCTGGGCCCTCCCCCATTGATCACTAATTAAGAAAACGCCCTATGGGGCTGGAGAGATGGCTCAGAGGTTAAGAGCACTGACTGCTTTTCCAGAGGTCCTGAGTTCAATTCCCAGCAACCACATGGTGGCTCACAACCACCTTTAATGAGATTTGGTGCCCTCTTCTGGCCTGCAGTCATATATGCTGTATACATAATAAATAAATAAATCTTTAAAAAAAAAAAAAAAAAAAAGAAAACGCCCTACAGAGTTGCCTACAGCCTGATCATATGGAGGCATTTTCTGAGATAACTCTAGCTTGTGCCAATTTGACAGAAAACTAATCAGAACAGCTAACAAATGGGGATACCACAAAACTCCCACTCATTCCATCACTTATTCTCTCAGCGTCATTCACTGAACTCCTATTGTACAGGGAGGGGCCAAGTTAGTGACTGGAGACACAGAGGTGAATAATGCAGGCTCTCTGTTGCTGTGGGATGTTCTGTATGTCAAATGTGTTGCTGATTAGTCAATAATTAAAACACTGATTGGCCATTGGCTAGGCAGGAAGTGTAGGCGGGACAAGGAGGAGAATAAAACTGGGAAGTGGAAGGCTGAGTCAGAGAGACACTGCCAGCCGCCACGATGAGAAACAGCATGTGAAGATGCCGGTAAGCCACGAGCCATGTGGCAAGGTATAGATTTATAAAAATGGATTAATTTAAGCTGAAAGAACACTTAGCAAGAAGCCTGCCATGGCCATACAGTTTGAAACCAATACAAGTCTCTGTGTTTACTTGGTTGGGTCTGAGCGGCTGTGGGACTGGCAGGTGAGAGAGATTTATCCTGACTGTGGGCCAGGCAGGAAAACTCTAGCAACACTCTGTCCTTTGAAGAGCTCTCTAATTAGCTAGAAATATGGGCATTTAGACAGTTTAAGTATAAGAACAAATAGAGCAAAGCTAGAACATGAAAGGAGAATCAGAAAGGTCAGTCAGGGCTAGGATAAAGCATGGCAGCAGAAAACCTACCCAGTTGTGTGACACTGTGGGCTCAAACCTAACATAGAAGAAAGACAGAAATAAACACAGAGGGGGTGGGGAGAGAGGGGAGGGGAGAGAGCAGCAAGGTAGCTGTGAAAGTTTCTAGAATTTACAGGGCATGGTGTACATGCCTGGCCTATAATCCCAACACTGAGGAGGCAGAGGCGGAAGATCAGACATTCAAGGCCATCCTCAGCTAACCGTGAATTTGAGGCCAGCCTGTGCTACATGGCAGCCTGTCACAAAACCAACAATGACAAAGTCCTTGGTGCTTATTAAGTATTTATTTTGTGTCTGGCAACATTCTAAATGCCTCGTGTATATTGATTCTTTTCAATCTCTCCTTATAACCACCACACGTGATAGGCGCTTTTGAATTTGCATTTACAAGTGAGGAGACAGGCATAGAGTGGTCCTGATGTTCCAGTGTGTGACTGATGTGGCCTGATGTTACAGAGTATGTGGGCCTTGCAGAGATCTGACTCCTAGAGACTCACCGACACTCTTTGGTGAGTAAAAAAACGTGAGGATTGGACAAAGAGAGGAGGCTTGTGAGCATCTCCATTGAGGAAGCAACATCTGAACTGGGTCCTGAGGCGTGTGTAGGAATTTTCGAGGTTAGGCAGTTGGGAATGAGACAGAATGAGTCAATGATTCCCCATATGGAAAGAAATGCTGTGGAACAATCTTTGCACACTGTAAATACGTATTGCTCTCATTGTCAATAAAACGCTGATTGGCCGATAGCTGGGCAGGAAGAGATTGGGCGAGACAGCCTGACACAGAGAGAACGCTGGGAGGAAGAAGGGCAGAGTCTGGAGTCTCCAGACTGATGCAGAAGGAGCAGGAGATGAACATGCCAGGCTAATAAAGGTACCACCACGTGGCAGAGCATAAATGAGGAATATGGGTTAACTTAAAATGTAAGAGCCAGTTAGTAATAAGTCTGAGGGATTGGCCGAGCATTTATAATTAATATAAGCCTCAGGGTGTTTATTTCAGAGCGAATGCAGGACAGGAAAACTCTGCCTACAGAAAGAGGTGTTAAGATGCCCTCCAGAGCTGTTGTGCTCATAGGCTGGGAAGAAAGGCTCAGAAGGAAAATCTGATGGTGAAGAACAAAGCATTCTTGATTAGTAAGGACGATCGATCACAGCTTCCGCATGGGACACCGAAAAGGCATATTGGCTTTGTGGCTGCAAGTTCTGACGGTCATGTTGGCTAAAGGTCACAGAGCTAGATGGGGCGGAAGCCAAGATGGGTGGGGATAGCTGACCAGCTGAGAAGTGAGGAGGGCTGGGAGATACAAAGGGAGCTGGGTGTGGGCTGTGACTGGCCTCGAGGTAGGGAGAGGGAAGCTGTGGAACTTGCTGATCTGAGAGCACTGGCTACTCCAGCACAGCATCCACTAGCCTACTGCCAACCTGGTGACCCTGGCTCCTTGTCTCTGAAGAGCCTCAGTCCTGGTGTCAAAAGGGCAGCCCCTGGAACTCCAAAGGTCATGACTGTACAAACTTGAAGGAAATTTCCCCTAAATTCCAACCCTTATCTCCGCCTCCCTTTTATTACCAACTGGAAATTGTCTCAGGCATTGCCAGGACTGGAGTTTTATGACCTGAGGAAAAAGCAAACGGGAAAAATGAGCCATCAGTGCTGATGACACCTCCCCTGTGGTGAAGACAGAAGCCAGGCAGTGCCAGGCAGCCAGGCCCACTTCTCTGGGCCTCATCAAGAACAGATTCTGCTTTGCTTGTCTGTTTCCAGGCATAGGGTCTAGATGGTCAGGAAGCAGGCATGGGCTCCTTCATGGTGGTTCAGGGAACCAGCATAAAAACCCCTTCATCAGCTGTCCCCACCAAGTGCTCAGATAACAGCACCCTCTGCAGACCTTCATCTCCAGACTGGCTCATGATCTGAAATGCTCTGCTTATGTTTTGGTCTTTCCTGGAGTCACGTCTAGCCAGGAGGGAGTCAGGACGAGAGCAGTGACCCTCACACCTGAGCTTGTCAGTCTCCCAGGAAGCTTGCTAACACACAGCTGAGCTCTGTACCCGACACTGGAGACTGACTGAGCTGGCAGGTCCTGAGAACTTGTGTTTCTAACAGGTACTCCTGTGTCACCCATGCTAATGACCACTGGACTCGAGGAGCCAGCTCAGTGGCTCTCACAGTGGGAAGCCCTGTATTTCACTTGGCCTCTGAGGACTTGGAGTTGTACAACTGTGTGCAGAATAACTCCATCATCAGGTGTTTCAGTTTTCTCATCTTTGTGTTCACTTCAGGACTACTGTGAGGGACAAAGGAGCAAACAGGTGTGAAAGTCACCTGTTTGTGTAAGTATAGGAAATTATTAACATGAAGGGAATAAATTTGTGGAGTGGTCAGAAATGTCTAGAATGAGCATGTCTGGCACTGGTAAGCAAGTGGCCCAGGAATACACATCTGCTGCCCTTGCCAAATGTGGCAACTATGAGAGCCAACTTCTATTCACCCAGTTTTTTTGTTTGTTTATTTTGTTTTTCAAGATGGTTTCTCTGTGTAACAGTTCTGGCTGTCCTGGAACTCACTCTGTAGACCAGGCTGGCCTCGAACTCACAGAGATCCACCCGCCTCTGTCTCCCGAGTGCTGGGTTTAAACGTGTGTACTACCGCCACCCAGCTTCACCCACTTCTTCTTTTAAGACCTATTTTAATTATAGGCGGGTGTGTACCTCTATCTGTGTATAGATGTGTTCATGTGAGCAGATGCAAAAGGAGGCCAGAGGTGTTGGATCCTCCAGAAGCTGGAGTCAAAGGAGGTTGCCAGCCTACTGGCCTGGGTGATGGGAATCACGCTTGGGTATTGTCTTAGACACTGTTCTATTGCTATGAAGAGACACCATGACCAAGGCAACTTTTATAAAAGAAAGCATTTCACTGGGGGGTTGTTCAAAGTTTCAGAGGTTAGTCCATTATCATCATGGCAGGGAACATGGAACTGGAGCAGTAGCAGAGAGCTACATCCTGATCTGCAGGCAGGCAGGCAGACAGAAACTGGGCCTGGCATGGGCTTTTGAAACCCCAAATCCCAACCATTGTGACACACTTCCTCCAACAAGACCACACCTAATCCTTCTAATCCTTTCAAACAGTTCCCCATTCTGGTGACTAAGCATTCAAATATATGAAGCTATGAAGGCCATTCTTATTCAAACTGCCACATGTCCTGTGCAAAAACAGTGTGTGCTCTTATCCACTAGGCCATCTCTCTACACACACACACACACACACACACACACACACACACATACACACGCACACAATGCACACATGCACACATGCACATGCACACACACAATGGCACATACATGCACATGCACACACATGTGCTCATGTTCTTGGCTGCATCCCTTCCCTCAAGTACTTACAGGTCAGCTTCCTACTGAGGAAGGGTACTCTTATCTTCACACAATGACTCCTGACATCCAGGAAACACAACAGAAGTTTCCATTTCCATCAACCCTCCTCTGGGATGTGAGTATCCTGAGTTGGGGGGCCTCTTTGTCTGTCTCACCCATACTACTGCAATACCTACAGCTGTCCTTGAAGATTTGGTTAGTTAATAAATGGCAAGGCTTCTCCACTCCACAGGGTAGGTTCAGCCTCATGATTTCTCTGCTTCCTTCGTTTTCAAAATCCTGGTAAGTCTTATGGGTACCAGGGATGTTTCAGAGTCCTGTGATCAGGTGCTTGTTTGACTCACTAACCCCAGGTATGTCCCTGAATATGGAGCATGCGTCATGAATTCTGAATATGGAAATACAAGGGAAAAGAGAGAAAATCTCCCTTGTCTTTCTCAGGCTCGGTACTTTTCCCCCCTCTTCAATGGCCCTCACTTACCTGCTCCACACGAACTTGGGAGTTGACCAGAAGATGGGCAACGGAGTCAGACAGGCCAATGTTTCTCGTGAGAAATAGCGTCAGGGTCTCCTCATCTTTTAGGATGTCTCGGATTTGTAATCCTCTTCCTGCGTATGAACCGAAGAAAGAGTAGGGCGTTGAAAGGGGATGGGTTAAAATAAGAACAGCATCGAGAATTGATTGGAAATACTTCTACGTGACTCTTAGAAGTGTGTGGGGGGTTCTTGGCTTCCTGGGGAACTCTTGGAGACTGAGGCTGTTGCCAGTGTCTGTCACCCACACCTCACACCACTTGTGGCTGAAGAGCCTGGGCACAGTGTGGGAAGGTACAGAAGGTAGGGAAGTTAGCCTAGGGTGAGCGCGGTTTCAGGTCTTTTTAGGGTTGGTCTGAGACCGTGGCTTTCAAGAGAGTGAAGGGTAAAGAACTACAGCAGGGGAGTTTGGGCTCTGGAGGAGTGTCTGGCAATATCTAGAGACATCTTCAGGCAGTGTTAGTGGGGAGAGGCCAGTGACATTGCTAAACATTCATAGTGTACAAAACAATGCTTCCTCCCCAAAGAATCTCCTGTCCCTGCAAATGTCAGTGATACTTGTTACGATTCCTAGCCACTCCCTAATCATCCCACACTACAAGCACCACATGATCACGTAATTTGCGCAGCATGACCACATGCGCATGAGTGTGTGTGTGTGTGGGGGTAGCTGAATAGGCCCATGTGCGCATGCTCAGGGGAACCAATAAAAGCAGATTCCACCCATTTCCCCGCCCCTTCTCCCACACCATTTGCCTCCGGTAGGCCTATTCCACACCCCTCCTTTACTCTCCCCTAATAAACTCTTATAGTGAGTTTTGTCGTACCTTGTGTTACTCTCTCAAGGTAAACAGTGCCACATAATAAATAATTACTAAGGCTGGAAAACCCTGCTTACCTATATACTCCACCAGAAAATTCATAGTTCTGATAACTTCCTACAAAATACAGGAGGATTAAAAGAAAATCAACTAAAAGCTACGAAATCAGTGGCCTTTCCGTATCTAGATAACAAGCATGCTGGGACAGAAATCAGAAAAATAACCCCATTTGCAGTAGCATCCAAACCAAACCAACCAACCAAACAAACAAACAAACAAACAAACAAATCATAGAGTAAACCACCAACCAACCAACCAACCAAACAAACAAACAAATCATAGAGTAAACCTAACGAAGAAGGCAAAATGCCTCCATAATAAAAACTTTCAAATCTGAAGTAATAAGTTGAAGACTCTAGAAGATGGAAAGATCTCCTATGCTCCTGAACTGGCAGAATTAATAGCACGAAAATGTCTGTAACACACAAAGTAATATATAGGTTCAATATCATTCCCATAAAAATTCCAATGACATTCTTCACATAAGTAGATAAAACAATCCCGGGTTTCATACGTAAGCAAAAGAACCTCAAATAGCCAAGGCGATGTTGTGGGTGAAGAACTCAAGTAATACACCAGAGCCATAGTAACAAAACAGAATGGTGGCCAATGGGATAGAACAGAGAAGCCAGAGTCATACCCGTACAGCTCTAGCCTCCTGCTGTTTTGGCAAAGCTGGCAAGCACATACACCGGAGACTAAAACAGTTTCTTTGGCAAATGGAGCTGGAAAAACTGGACTGAAGAATGAAATTGGATCCACATCTCTTACCCTGCACAAAAGGTCATTTTAAATGGGTCAAAGATCTTAGTAAGGGTCTGCATCTCTGAAAATACTAGACGGAAACACTTCAAGATATAGGCACAAGAAAGGACTTTCTCGAAGGGACCCCAATCATTCGAGAAGTAACTCCGAGAATTGATAAATGGAATTTCATGAAGTTAAAAATCTTCTACATAGTGAAGGAAACAGTTAACGGTGCAAAGGGACAGCACAGAGATGGGAGAAATCTTTGCCAGCCATGTATCTGATAGAGTATTAATATCTAGACCGGTGGTTCTCAACCTTCTTAATGCAACTTTTAATACAGTTCCTCATATTGTGGTGACCCCAACCATGTATATATATTGCTGCTACTTCGTAACTATAATTTTGCTACTGCTATGACTCAATATAAATATCCAATATGCAGGATATCTGATATGTGACCCCTGTGAAAGGTCATTGACCCCCCCCCAAAGGACTCTCAACCCACAGGTTGAGAATCACTGACCTAGACTATTTAAAGAATTCAAATAGGGGGCTGGAGAGATGGCTTAGCGGTTAAGAGCACTGACTGTTCTTCCAAAGGACCTGGGTTCAATTCCCAGCACCCATATGGCAGCTCACAACTGTCTGTAACTCCAGTTCCGGGGGACCAGGGGACCCTCACACAGACATACACACAGACAAAACACCAATACACATAAAATAAAAAATAAATTATTTAAAAAACATTCAAATAACTAAACGCCAACCCCAAATAACCCAGTCAATAACTGGGCAAATAAAATAAACAGCAAGATGAAGTATAGATGATCAGTAGCTGCGTGCAAGCGTGCTCAGCATCTTATTTGGCGACGCGGCTCACTGGGACAGGTGCTTGCCGATAAGCCTGACAACCTGACTTTATTCCTTGGGACACACACGGTGGAAGGAGAGAACTGACCCCTAGGAACTGTCTCCTCTCACGCCCACAGACGTGCTGCAGTACATGTGTCCCCACCCTCGATACATAATAAAAACTTGAAAATGTTTTTAATGCTAAACATCCTTAGCCACCAGAGAAACGCAAATCAAAAGTACACGAGGTTCCGTTTCACCAGTCAAACTTCTAAAACAACACATGCTGGCGAGGATGCGGGGACAGGAATCCTTATCCGTTACAGGTAGAAATGTAAACTAATGCCGTCACTGCGGAAGCTGGTATGCAGAATGCTCAAACAAACTGAAACTTGGTCAGCCTGGCATGGTGACTCACGCCTTTAATCCCAGCACTCCTTAGGAGGCAGAGGCAGAGGCAGGTGGATCTCTGTGAGTTAGAGGCCAGCCTGGTCTACATAGCGAGTCCAGGCCAGCCAGGGCTACACTGAGAAACCCTGTCTCTAAAACAAAACAAAACAACAAAACCCCCAAACTGAAACTCTATTGACCATATGATCGCTATGCCCCACTCCTTGTGAGTATGCCCAAAGGAATCCAGAGAAACTGCTCATCCATGAATATGGCATCACTATTCACAACAGAGACGTTATGGAGTCAGCCTCGGCTTCCATCAACATCAACAACAATGGATAAAGAAGTGTGACTCTGTCTCAAAAAGACAAAATTATGTCATTTGCAGGAAAATACATAGAATTAGCTATCATTATATTAAACAAAGTAAATCAGACCCAGAAGACAAATATTATATATTTACTTCCATGGCACGCGCGCATACACACACACACACACACACACACACACACACACACACACACATACACACACATACACACACACACACAGAGAGAGACAGAGAGAGACAGAGAGACAGAGACAGACAGAGAGGAGAGACAGAGAGAGAGAGAGAGAGAGAGAGAGAGAGAGAGAGAGAGAGAGAGAGAGAGAGAAAGGCAATGGTGAAGGAATATGGTTAAAGTTCACAATATAACTGAGGAGAAATGTCCTCATGAAATCCAACACTTCATACAACGAATATACATTAGCAAAAAGAATTCTTTCAGGAAAGGAAGAAGCTGCTTTGGGATTGGAGATGTGTGCTCTGCCCTCGCTGCAGTTATGATGGTTCCTGTCAGCTCAGCCCAGGGTTGAAGCTCTGCACTTCGGCATGAATGGGGTGATTCAGGGCAAGAAGAGCTTCATGTAATGGGGAGTTTCGGGCCTATTGCCCAGGCTCGTCCTGGTCAGCCTTAGCCACATTCTCTCCAACTCTACTCAAAACCTTTTAGAAGCAGGAACTCTTTTTCAGAGAGGCATCAAATAAAGGACTACTAACTGTGAAGGTGTCCCTGGGGCAAGTGACCAGCCTCTCTCCATGTGATCGCAGTCACCACATTGACTAGATGTTGTAGGGGTGACAAGATGTAAAAGGACCCTGAAGCTCTTTACCCCAGCCCTGAAAGTAGTTACTACTCAATACATGTTTGTCCTGACAGCATTAACATCATCCCCACCCCTCCTGAAGGATTCACCCAGGCCCTGCCTCTTCTCTCACATCCTGGCCAGTGTCAACCTCAAGCTGGCTACTATGACAGTTTAGGAGATGCTGACCAGAGAAAAGCCCACAGGCCCAGCTTCTGGAAGTCGCTTCAACTTGAAAGCAAAGTCCTGGATATGTAATGTCATTCTGGCCCAAATTCTCCAGCTGCCCGGTGCCTTGCTAAGCTCTGAGTGTTTCTCCAAGGGGCATGCTTTTCCCACACCCCTGCTCCTTCTGACTCCAGCTCCATAGTGAACTCCACCTCCCACCCCAACCTTTCCCTTGCCAGGCAAGTGCCTGATAACCTCCATTGCTGTTTCAGGGATACGATGTTCCTGTATGGTGACTGGACTAGATCCATGCTGCCAATGATGGCTTCCCACTGAAGGGCAGGGGTCGAGCCCACAGATCAGCCAATGTCTAAGCCAGGGCCGACTGGCCCTGATGTTCCGTACAGCAGTCTCCTGTCAGGAAGGGTGCCTCTGAGAGCTACGTCAGTGGGTCACCCACTGTCACTCGGCTTTGCACAGGACACTTCCAAGGACTTTGGGGCGACCTGAACGTAGGGTTCCCCTGGAGCAGCAGGGCCCGAGAGAAGGCACTGTATTTCATCTCTGTCTTCCTTTCCTGTGGGTGATACATATACCCTGCCGTTTTCCAAACAGCTCGACTGTTCTCCTGTATTACAGAGAACAGCCTTTAGATACAGCCTTACAGGCTCTCACTACGGTAGTCTGCACACAGTAGGCTGCATGTATACACACAACCGTGCAAACACGGTTGTCCAAGGGTTGAGGACCATGGGTCCCGCTTTTCTGCATCCCTTGTCCCACCTAGCCATGTTGGGTGCACAGAGGTTAAGATTGCGAGGTCATTCTCTCTGTCTCTCTGTCTCTGTCTCTCTGTCTCTGTCTCTCTCTCTCTGATACTCTGTAGTAAGGCCTGCCGTGGTA